AAGTAGCTGAGACTACAGATGCACACCACCATGCCTGGCTAATTTTTGTATATGTTTTTTTTTTTTTTTTTTTTTTTTTTTTGGTTTTTTCTTTTTTTTTTTTTTTTTTTTTTTTTTTTTTTTTTTTTTTTGAGACTGGGTTTTGCCATGTTGCCCAGGCTGGTTTTGAACCCCTGAGCTCAAGCTGTCCACCTGCCCTGGCCTCCCAGAGTGCTGGGATCACAGGCATGAGCCACTGCGCCTGACCCATTTTCTATTCCTGGGTGTCTTTGGCTTTGCTGCTATCAAAGTAGTGCTGGCCTCATAGAATGAATTAAGAGTGTATTTTTTGATATTTGAGACAGATTGATGCTAATTATTTAAATGTTTGGTAGAATTCACTAATAAAACCGTCTGATACAGTCCTTTTTCTTTTCGGGGAGAATTTTGACTACTGTTTCAATCTCTTTAGTTGTCATGGGTCTGTTAAGATTTTCTATATCTTGAGACAGTTTTGGTTATGTATATGTTTCTAGGAATTTTCCATTGCATCTATGTTGTCTAGTTGGTGTATGGTTGTTCAGTATATTCTCCTATAATCCTTTTTAATTCTGTGAGATGTAATATCCTCAGTTTCATTTTTGGTTTTAGTTACTTGTGTCTTCTTTTTTTCTTAGTCTAAACCATAGGTTTGTCAATTTTGTTATTCTTTTCAAAGAATCACCTTTTGGTTTTGTTGATTCTATTGTTGTTCTCTATTTCATTTATCTTCATTCTAGTCTTTATTTTCTTTCTTTTGCTTTGAATTTAGTTCTTTTTCTGTTTCTAAAGTATAAAGTTAGGTTATTGATTTGAGCTCTTTCTTCTTTTTTAATATAGACTGTTAGCAGCTATAACTTTCCCTCTGAGTACTGCTTTCACAGCATCGCATAAGTTTTGGTATGTTGTGGCCTTGTGTTCATTTCTTTCAAAGTATTTTCTAATTTCCCTAGTGATTTCTTCTTTTTCCCATTGGTTATTTAAGAATGTGTTGTTTAATTTCCATATACTTGTGAGTTTTCCAGCTTTTCTGCTGTCATTAATTTCTAGCTTCTTTCCATTGTGGTTGGTGAAGATATTTTATGTGATTCTAGTCTTTCTAAATTTATTAAGGTTTGTTTTGTGGCCTAACATATAATCTGTCCTGGAGAATGTTTCATGTACACTTGATAAAAATATGCATGCTGCTCTTGTGGAATGGAGTATTCTTCATATGCCTGACAGCTCTAATTGGTGTATAGAGTTGTTCAAGTTCCCTATGTCCTTTTTAATCTCTGCACAAGTTTTATCCATTACTTAAAAGTGGAATATTGAAGTCTCCATTTATTATTGTAGGACTGTTCATATCTGACCTCAATTCTTTCAGTATTTTCTTTATATATTTTGGGGCTCTGTTGTCTGGTACATATATTATTATAAATGTTATATCATCTTTTTGAATCAACCCTTTTGTCAATATATTATATAATGAGCTTCTTTATCTCTTGTAACAGTTGTTGACTGTAAGTTACTTTTGTCTGATAGTAGTATAGCCATTCATTACAAACATCCTTTTACATTCAACCTTTTTGTGTCTTTTGCTCTAAAATGAGCCTCTCTTACAGACGGCATATAGTTAGATCATGTGTTTTGTTCATTCTGACAGTCTGTCTTTTAATTGGTGAGTTTAATCCAATTATATTTAAGTGATTGCTGATAAGCAAGGACTTATGCCATTTTGCTGTTTGTTTTCTCTACCTATGTCTTAACGTCTTTTGTTCTTCATCTCCTCTAACACTGTCTTTCTGATTTTTTTTCCTAGTGTGCCATTTTCATGCTTTCCTCATTTCTGTTTCTGTATACAATTATTTTCTTAGTGGTTACCATGGGGATTATAGTTAACATTCATACATTTTTAACAATCTAGTTTGATTTAACCCCAGCTTAAATTTTAAAAACCCTGCTTGTTTGGTTTCAGTTGAGGCCCCAGTCTTAGCATCATGCAGCATATCCATGTAACGGAACTGCACTGTACCCTCAAATCTAAAATACAAATAAATAAATAATAAAAGCTTTGCTAATGACAATAAAGGAAAAAGAAGCTCTGCTTCTACACAGCTCTGTCCCCCCTTTATGTTGTTACAGTCACAAATTATATTTGTACGTTGTGTGCCCACTAATATAGATATATAATTCTGCATTTGTCTTTTAAGTCATATAGGAAACAAAAAGAGAAGTTAAAAATAAAAAATACAATAACACTGGCTTTTACATTTATTCATGTAGTTAGCTTTATTGGAGTTCTTATTTCTTTATATGACTTCGAGTTATTGTCTAGGGTCCTTTCATTTTAGCCTGAAGGGACTCCCTTTAACATTTGTTTTAGGACTGGTATACTAGCAGTGAATGTCCTCTGCTTTTGTTTACCTGGGAATGTCCGTATTTCTCCACTTTTGAAAAATAGTTTTGCAGGATATAGAATTCTTGGTTGATAGGAGTTTTTTTTGGCTCAACACTCTAAATATATTAACCCATTTCCTTCTGGTCTGCAACTTAGCTGGGTGGTTTTGGCTGATAGTCCCTCACAAGTTTGCAGTCAAACTAGTTGGCAAGAGCTGCAGTGATTTTAAGGTTGCACTACAGCTCAGTAATCCACGTCTGAGCTCAGCACATGGTTGTTGGCAGGCCTCACTTCTTCACTGTTGTGAAGCTTCCATTCCTCACACCTGGGCCTCACCACAGTGCTGCTCACAACATGGCAACTGGCTTCCCACAGAGCAAGAGATCCACGAAGGAAAGACACCCTCCCTCACCACCAATGTTGTGATTGTTTTGTTTTGTTGTGATTGTTTTGTATTTTTGTTTTTGGATACTTTTGGTATTATTTATATAACACTGAGATAATCATACTTTTTCTTGCATGAGAGAGAGAAATTTGAACCATGGATAATTCTTTAGTGGAGAGGAATTGATTTGCCTTTCCCTAAAAGCATTGCCACTAATTGCTTTACTCAGCCTTAGAAATGGAAGTACCAGACTTCAAGAAGCTTCACACAGCCTTGGAATGGAACAGCACACCCTTATAGATAACCTTCTCTTCTCCCTCCTCCCTCATACATCTGTCCTTCCTGGTCAAAGAGACATGAAAATAAGCTTTCTGGGCATCCAGGACTTTTAAAATGTCACTGTAAACTACTTTCCCATTGGTGGTTTGTTTTATGGAGGAAATGTGTCCTTTTTGATTAAAAACTCTGTGTGTGTGTGTGTGTGTGTGCATGCGTGCGCGTGCGTGTGCATGCGTGCGCGTGCATGTGTATGTGTGTGTGTGTGTTAGAGAGAGAGACACTTGAGTAATTCTTCCTTAGGTCATATTCTTCACTCAGAAAACCAATCAGCTCTTTACTGTACACCTGTGCTGCTTGAAGTGCCATAGTAGGTTCAAAGGGGAGCGAAATCAAGAGTTGCATGAAACAATTCCCACTCTCAAGTAGCTTTTAGTATAAAGGGGGAAATATGAGAGAACCTCAGTGGGGGAAAAATACAAGACGGCATTTATGCCCCAGAGCAGTGGTCGCCACAGTATTGGTAAGACAGATGCTTACATTTTCCTTATGTAATCATATAAAAAGGAGACGAAAAATATGGAAGTAGCCAGGAAAGAAAATGAAAAATCTTTGTACTTGTGTTAGTTTTTCAGATCTAGTAAAGTATTTCCAGCATAATTATGTTTGAGAACTTTAGATGTCCCGTTTGTAGGGCCAGAGTCTCACTTAGCCCCTCATTAAATAAGTGAGAATAAAACTGCCCATCAATAATCGGACAGTTTTAGTCTCACTTATTTAGTTATTGTTCCCATATGAAAGGACCATTACGTCCACATTTTTCCTAATTTTGAAAAAGTAAGTTAGGTTTGTGTTTACAGTTTTATATCTACTGTTTTAAAATTATTTCAGTATTTATAGAGAGCTTCATAAAATGAATTAGCCATTGGCTTATGGTAAGAATAGTAATGCAAGCCGGTCTACCAGTATGCCAGCTACCTTTTGTGTTTGAAGATGGCAATACAACTGGTGTTTCTTCTGCTTGAGTAGACGCTTCTGGAAGAAGAGGCTTGGAATAATTAGGAAGTCAGCCTCTTGCAAGATGGCCGGCCCTTAGCAATTGCATCTCTCCTCTGATGGACTATATAGTCAGGTTTTTAATATTCCATGTAAGGGTAGTTCTGCAGTCTCTCTGGATTATGATTGTAATTGTTCTGAAATAGAAGACTGTGTATGCAAGACGTTTTCAGCATCATTCTGGTCTTAAGCAGGTTGTGGGCTGGAGCTTGACCTATAATGTAAAAACAGTGGGCCAGTCCTGATGGATCATGCCCATAATCTCAGCACTTTGAGAGGCTGAGGTGGGCAGATCACCTAAGGTCAGGAGTTCCAGACCAGCCTGGCCAACATGGTGAAACCCTGTGTCTTCTAAAAACACAAAAATTAGCCAGGCATGGTAGCGGGCACCTGTAATTCCAGCTGCTAGGGAGGCTGAGGCAAGAGAATCGTTTGAACCTGGGAGACGGCGGTTGCAGTGAACTGAGATTGTGCCACTGCATCCAGCCTGGGCAGTGAGAAAAAACTACATCTCGAAAACAACAATAGTGGGCTTGCCTCTGGGAAACTACCCCCACATCCTAAAATACATGGAAATCAGAAAGGGCAACCTGTACCACATTTTTATACTTAGGAATTAAGTCATACTTTTCTTTTCGTATACATTATTTAGACATATTTATAGATTCATATTTACTCCATGCAATTTAATAACCTCAACTAGGGCTTTACATTTTAATTTCCCCTCCCCCAATGAAATCTATAATACTAACTCCTTTATTAATAATGTTCCACGTTTGAATATGTTGTCTTCTTTCTTCTTGACTACTACTATTAAACTTCTGGTTGTTTCATCCTTTTCATAAAAAATGAATTCTGAATTTTTATTTAATTTTTCTCTCCTAGACAGTTAAATCTCACACAGAAACAGATGAGAAACAAACAGAAAGCCGCACCATCACCCCACCTGCTGCACCCAAACCAAAACGGGAGGAGAACCCTCAGGTAGGCCTATGTCTCCAAAGGCAAGGCCCTGGCTACAGTGTATAGTTTATTCTCATGTACCAGGAGGGGCACCTGCTCTCTGAATGAGGAAATGAACCTGATGTTCATTTTCTTAGGCTCTTTCATTATTCAACAACATGATTGCCAAGTCAGATTGGTCTAGAGTGGAATTGTTAAGACTGTGATCTTAAGGGTCCATGCACTGCACATAGGCATTTTGATTGTATCAAAGAAAATGGTTTTTTTTAAAGTGTTATTATTTTTCATATGCATGTTACAAATTCAGAATGTTAAGATGAATGATGATTTTCCCAGCTGTCCTATTACATTCCTAATCATTACTGTGTTCTGTTTGTCTCAGCCAACATTTTTTTTTTTTTTTTTTTTTTTT